GTTATTAGTGCCATGTGTAGGGTTATTAGTGTTATATATAGGGTTATAAGTGTTATATGTACAGGGTTATTAGTGGTATATATATAGGGTTATTAGTGTTCTATGTACAGGGTTATTAGTGATATATATCGGGTTATAAGTGTTATATGTACAGGGCTATTAGTGTTATATATAGGGTTATAAGTGCCATGTGTAGGGTTATTAGTGGTATATATACAGGGTTATTAGTCGTAATGTATAGGGTTATTAGTGTTACATGTACAGGGTTATTAGTGCCATGTATAGGGTTAATAGTGGTATATATACAGGGTTATTAGTGTCATGTATAGGGTTATTAGTGGTACATATACAGGGTTATTCGTGATATATATTCAGGAATTTTAGTGGTATATATACAGGGGTATTAGAGGTATATATACAGGGTTATTAATGTTATATATACAGGGTTACTAATGTTATATATACAGGGTTATTAGTGATATATATGCAGGGTTATTAGTTTTAGATATACAGGGTTATTAGTGTCATGTATAGGGTTATTAGTGCTTTGTTAATGAACCTGACTGAAGACGGGAAGAAACTGTTCATGTGTCGTGAGGTCTTGGTCCTGATGGACCGCAGCCTCCTACCAGATGGAAGGGGCTCGAACAGTTTTTGTCCAGGGTGAGAGGGGTCAGCTACAATCCTTCTTGTTCGCTTCAGGGTCCTTGAAGCGAACAAGTCTTGGAGGGCCGGCAGATTGCAGCCAATCACCCTCTCAGCAGAGCGAATGATGCGCTGCAGCCTGCCCTTGTTCTTGGCAGTGGCTGCAGTGTACCAGACTGATGGAGGAGCAGAGGATGGACTCAATGATGGCTGTGTAGAAGTGCACCATCATTGTCTTTGGCAGGTTGAATTTCTTCAGCTGCCTCAGGAAGTACATCCTCTGCTGAGCCTTCTTAGTGATGGAGCTGGTGTTAAGCTCCCACTTGAGGTCCTGGGTTATGATGATGGAGGACTCCACAGTGTCGACGGGGGAGTCATACAGGGTGATAGGGGGAGGAAATCCACAACCATCTCCACTGTCTTTAGAGCGTTGAGCTCTAAGTTGTTCAGACCGCACCGGGTCACCAGATGGTCAGTCTCCCACCTGTAGGCGGACTCATCCCCACCAGAGATGAGTCCAATGAGGGTGGTGTGAACAGCAAACTTCAGGAGCTTGACGGACTGGTGACTGGAGGTGCAGCTGTTGGTGTACAGGGAGAAGAGCAGAGGGGAGAGAATGCAGCCTAGGGGGGTTAAAGGCAGAGCTGAAGTCCACAAACATGATCCTAGCGTAGGTTCGAGTCCACATGCTGGAGGATGAAATGCAGGGCCATGTTGACTGCATCTTCTACAGACCTGTTGGCTCTGTAGACGAACTGCAGGGGGTCCAGGAGTGGGTCAGTTAGGGTTTTTAGGTGGGACAGGACAAGGCGCTCAAAAGACTTCTGGAATGAGTGGTACAGAGGCATGGGCCCCTGCTGAGCTGGGGGAGGGGGACCTGGTGGTCTGGGGCTGGTTGATGGAGCCATGGGGGGTGGGGTCAGGACTGTCCCATTGTCTTTCAAAGCAACAGTAGAACTCGTTCAGCTTGTCTTCCAGGCGTAGATCATTAATTCTTCACCCACAATGCATTTGTTTTTGTGATATGATCAACATTTGTTTACTGCATGTTGATCAAAAAGGTGCTAATTACTTTATTAAGTTAATAAATCAGTTTTCAGTTGTTGGGTTGCAAGTTATTTGTTTATTATTTCTACGTATCAATGGATTAGAACTGAACTGATCTGTTAAGAATCAATTATGATTATTGATAAACTTAAAATCCTGACAGTTTTAAAGTTCGTCTTTTGATTCATTTTCTCGCCCTTCATACTGAATATTTAGCCGGCAGTGTTTAACCTCCATACAGTGAGCAGTTTGATTCATAGTAATGATGATGATGATGATGATGTTCTCCCTCCAGTCGCTCTGCTGCACTGCTTCCTGTTGGCAGATTTCATCCAATTAGCTCCCGTCTCTCCGTCCAACCCGTCGGCGCTCATTGAGGCGGCCGAGCGAGCGAAGATGCTGGTGGAGAAAATCCTGAGAGACGTTCCTGCCGTGCACGCCGCCACTGTCACCATCGAGGTAAACGAGGCGCGTGATTGGCTGCTGCGGCTCGACTATTGGTTGTTGTTCTTCATGTGTCGATAACTTATTCCTGGTGTCCTCAGGGTTTGACCCTTGACTCCGCCCACACAGCTAACCTGCAGATGATGGTGACATCACTGGGCATCCCCTCCGCCCCTGTCCTCAAACCGCTGTCGGAAAGCTTCACGCTGGTCAGTCTGAGGATCTTCAGGTTCCTTTAAGCCCTTCAGACGTTCTTGTGGTAGAATGAACAGAACATAATGTGTGTGTGTCTCCTCCTGCAGGACGTCTGTGTGAGCCGCATGTCAGCCGGCAGCCGGTTGTACCAAATGATTTTGGAAGTTTTATCTGGTCGCCTGAGCGGACTGAGTGACCTGCAGGCCGACCTGAGAGACCTGCAGACCCACATCACCAAGGTGACCTAATCACACGACCTCATCACACGACCTCATCACACGACCTCATCACACGACCTCATCACACGACCTCATCACATGACATGACCTCATCACATGACCTCATCACGCGACCTCATCACACGACATGACCTCATCACATGACATCATCACACGACCTCATCACACGACATGACCTCATCACGCGACCTCATCACATAACCTCATCACACGATATGACCTCATCACACGACCTCATCACATGACATGACCTCATCACATGAGATGACCTCATCACATGACCTCATCACATGACATGACCTCATCACACGACATGACCTCATCACACGACCTCATCACACGTCCTCATCACATGACATGACCTCATCACACGACATGACCTCATCACATGACCTCATCACATGTCTGACTCTGTGTTTCTGTGCTTCAGATGAAGGAGGCATTTCAGCTCAGCGTTGTCGAGGCGGATCAGAACCAGAACCTGGACCTGGCTTCCCGTCTCCATGGTAACTATGGGGTGCAGGTAGCGGCTCACCTGACGCTGACTCAGCTCCGCTCCTTCTGTCACGACCTGACCCGCAGCCTGAGAGCCGTCGCCACCTACAGGCCCCGCCCTGCAGGTACACACTAAGCCCCGCCCACCGGTAGCACTTGGGAACGAGGCGCCTAAAGGTCGTGACCTTTATGTTGCAGTGCATCATGGGAGATATTTTATGAAGGAGTTCTTAAAAGAAACAGTTCATACAAAGACCCTCGTTTGTTAATATTAATACGCTCATCAAACATCAGCCCTTCATCTCAGAACCACATCGACAGGAAGGAAGGAAATCCAAAACAGAAACGGGTTGAGAGAGGAAACATGTCTTTGAGAAACTCTTTCTGCAGAGACCATCTTTGAGACGTTCCTGAGATTTATTTCCTGACGTCTCTGTTTCAAACCGAGGGCGTTTTATTGTGAAGGATCTTGAGATCAGCAGCTGGAGCTTCGTGAGTCGGAGGAATGTGAGCGAGTTCAGGAATGAAGACATCAACAATCTGATCTGAGGTCTGCAGGTCTGAACCCGTCCGTCTGTCTTCAGGTTCTCGTTCAGCTTGCAGCGAACGCACACGTCTGGAGACTAGAACACGAGTCACCGATCGATCGATAATCCGTAATCAATCAACAGAAAAGTGATCGGTAGCAACTCTGATGATCCGTTTATTGTTCGAGACGATTTAAACCAAAATGTTTCACAAAATTTGACTTTTTGTTTTCTGACCTAATGACAACAACCAATAATCAATAACATTTACACTAATCAATAACTGATCATCCGACTTATTTTGACAGAATTTAAAAGCTTCTCTATCATATGGAGGCTTTTATTGTGAAACAGCTGCAGGAAATGGTCAGAGCTGCTCCTCTTTATTTTAAATGTTTCTGTATATTTATATTGACATTAATATTATTGATATTAATGATATGTATTAATACCCATTAATATATATTAATATTCATTGATAATTAATTATATGTATTAATATTTATTAATATTTCTCAGTTCATATTTATGAGGTTTGGATGAAAATGACTCAGATCAGGTTATTTATCATATTATATTTATTGGTTATTTGTGATGAAATATTTATTTTACTTTTGACTGTTTCTGTTTTAGATATTTTAATTATTTTATGATGTCAGAGCAGCGAGGATGTCATGTTGTGTGTAAATTATATTTGTATCGTGTTCAGGTGTGTTTGATATATTTACTGTATTTATTTAATTGTTTGATGAAGAAACTGATTTTATTGACTCTGGGTTGTCGTCTTTTAATTAACTTTTATAATGAGATTCTAACAGCCAATCAGAAGCCTTTCTTTGTTTCAATGATAATAAAGACTGTTTTCTAAATATTGTTGTTTGTTTGTTCGTTTTGGGGTGCGTTCCATTCAGCTTCGCTCACTTAAGCTTCAATAGAGATGACATCACCTGTTTATGCAGAAATCATGTGACTGGAAAACAGGAAGTAAATTTACTGTTTTCTGATTGAAAGAACTGACGGAACGTTTTTTACTAGCTAGCTTGTCCATCTCCAGAGCTGGCTAGTATTAATTAAGTATTAATAATAATTATGTGTTTACAATTACGGTGTTTACAGACATCTTCAACACCTCCCTGGAGACATGCCACGTACCAGCCTACTTCAAGGCCTCCACCATCATCCCCGTCCCCAAAAAACAAGGATCACAGGACTCAATGACTACAGGCCCGTCGCCCTGACCTCTGTGGTCATGAAGTCTTTTGAGCGCCTAGTCCTGTCCCACCTAAAAACCCTCACTGACCCACTCCTGGGCCCCCTGCAGTTCGTCTACAGAGCCAACAGGTCTGTAGAAGATGCAGTCAACATGGCCCTGCATTTCATCCTCCAGCATCTGGACTCCCCAGGAACCTATGCCAGGATCCTGTTTGTGGACTTCAGCTCTGCCTTTAACACCATCATCCCGTCTCTGCTGCATAGCAAGCTCTCCCAGCTGCACGTGCCCGACTTCACCTGCAAGTGGATCACAGACTTCCTGTCTGACAGGAAGCAGCACGTCAAGCTGGGAAAACAGGTCTCAGCCTCCAGGACCATCAGCACCGGCTCCCCCCAAGGCTGCATTCTCTCCCCTCTGCTCTTCTCCCTGTACACCAACAGCT